AGATAGAACGATATATATATATATATATATATATATATATATATATACAGAGAGAGAGAGAGAGAAATGACAGAGAGAGGGAGAGAGTGAAAGAGAGGTAATAAGCACACTGAGACAGATTGATGGAATGATAGAAAGTGAACAGACATATATATATATATATATATATATATATATATATATATATATATATGTCTGTTCACTTTCTATCATTGTGGATGACGTTATATATATATCATTGTGGATGACGTTATATATATATATATATATATATATATATACGGATAGATAGATAGATAGATATACATATATATATATATAGATATAGATATATATATATATATATATATATATATATATATATATATATATATATATATATATATATATATATATATATAGATAGATAGATAGATAGATAGATAGATAGATGAACGGACCGAGATAGATAGATAGATAGATAGATAGATAGATAGATAGATAGATGACACACACACACACACACACACACACACACACACACACACACACACACACACATACATATATATATATATATATATATATATAGATAGATAGATAGATAGATAGATAGATAGATAGATAGATAGATAGATAGATACACACACACACACACACACACATATATATATATATATAGAGAGAGAGAGAGATAGATAGATAGATAGATAGATAGATAGACACACACACACACACACACACACACATATATATATATATATATATATATAGAGAGAGAGAGAGAGAGAGAAAGAGATAGATAGATAGATAGATAGATAGATAGATAGATAGATAGATAGATAGATAGATAGATAGATAGATAGATAGATGAGATGAGGTGTATATATGTTGTGCAAAATGTCGAATATAAAGAGATGAATGACGATAATAATGGCACGGATAAATCGAAAATTTTCGGTAGTTTCGATCTAATTGCGAGCAAAATTGGCGTTGCGGAGAATAATAAGAGAGTGGTAGAGAGAACAAAGAGAGTGAGGGAGATGGAAAGAGAACGTCAGAATGAGGCAAGGAGTAACATAGAGAGAGTGAGAGGGAAGAGTGAGGGAAAGAATGACAGATGAGAAAAGCGCTTCAACGCACACATCTAGAGAAAGTAACGAAAAAGAGAGAAAGATTAATAAAAGGAAGAGAAAGAGAAAAATAACATAGAAACAGAGGGAAGGGAGAGGAAGGACGACGAATGAAACGAAGTGTACAGCAGGAATGAAGACGAAACGAGAAATAACGTGATATAAACGAGACTGGAGCTGGTAATACGATTCTTTGGTCGGGTCGTCCTGACCTTGCGTTAAGAGCCAAGGCAAGATAGAACGTGATAGTGACAACACATACGGGTAAATTGTGAACGTGTGCCTTTTCACTATATACCCGTATATATGTACCTGTATATGAGCATACTCACACAGGTGTGTTTGTTTGGGTGTGTGCGTGTATAAATGCGTGTGGGTGTTTGTGCATGTATGCATTGAACTGATATGCCTGTCAGAATTCGGCTACACAGAAATGCAACTGGGTATTACGGATTTTACAAATATGTAAATGGACTTGAAGTTCACTTTGAAGTTTTTTTCTAGGCTCATCCATTATATATTAATCCGTCGACAAAAAAAAAAACAAAAAAAAAAACAGTCACGGAAACCTCATTGGGGTTTAATTTTCAGTGAACTGGACTTGTCAATTATGTGTAAGGAACTCGAGTCTCACTGAGTGGCCAATATTTGTAACCTTGTGCATGAGCGTATATTAATGATCACTAATAAATAGTAGATTATAACTTTTTATATGTCGTGTCCCTTCAGGGCGTGGATAATCATGTCTCTCTACAGCTGTGGTTCCTAACCTATTTTGAGCCATGCCTCACTTTGGTATTTCTTAAATTCTTGTGCCCCCCCCCGCCCATGTAATATTTAATTCTTACATATTGAAAATTTTATTGCAATTCATATGAAGGACGCTTAAAAGGCCATTAACTTGGTCTCTAAACAAGCCTTCAAAGACCATGGCGTACATGAAAGAGACAAATTAAAAAGAAAAGAGAGTTATATATATATATATATAGTTTCAAAACAAATAATAGAGAACTGAAACGCATAAATATAAAATATTTGAATGAAAGTTTATTCTGTAATATACTTTGATCATTTTAATCATGAAATAATAATGCAAGAGGAAATTTAATCTCACTAGAAAACAATTCACTCTTGGATTGCCCTCATATTCTGTTGGTATTATAAGCCGAAGAGTGTAGATCCTAAGCATACTCCACCAAAATATTACCATACCTCACCGGTGGGGTATGCGCCCCACGTTGGGAATCATTGCTGTACGGTTTTCTATCCGTTGTAAACTTAATTAATGTTTGTCTTATTACTAACCTTCCTCGTATCTACTCTACAATCCATCTCCACAATCTTGTTATGTAGGCTATACAATGTTTTATCCTCTTCTCCTGTTGTTTTTGTTTGTGTTGTGCGTGTCTAGTTCTCCAATTTCTCTATCCTCGATTTGTATCCCAGACGTTTCAATTAATTCTTTTCTGATTCCAAGAATATCTTCGTTCACTTTCCCTTTTTCTAAAAACTTCCTCATTGATCAAATGTTCCGTCTATAGTATTCTCAACATCCTTCTGTAGCGTCACATTTCTGTGGCTTCCCTTCTCCCTTCCATTTACGAGGAAATTGTCCAACATTCACTGTCATATAAGACAGTTGATATTACACGGCAGCTCGGCATTCTTCTTTGTTTATAATGAAATTTTCCTGTATCTCATTACTTTTTTTGGCTTTTGGAGGGCATTTTTCGCTAGACTGATTTCCGTATTACATTTTCAGAAGTGTGCTATGAAACTTCCTCAGCAGTTTAAATTGTGTATTTTAAAAAAAATTAATTCACCCCCAAGGAAGGCGATAATGCCACTAAGATGCAAGCGGTTAGCAGGAGTGAAAGAGAATGCGAAAACTTTAAAAGGAAATGGAAACCCAATCCTAAACAGGAAACAAGGGATAAAACTCTACCCTTGTTTATAAAAAATAATAATGATTACCAATCCTTTACTGCTACTAATACTACTAATACTACTAGCATAAATAAAGCGGTTTGGTTGATATTACATAGCAGTTCAGCACTTTTCATTGTATATTACGAAATATTCCTGTTTCTTAATACTTTGATTAACTTTTTGAAGGTAATGTGTTCAAATACACAAACTATTAGTAAATAATAGCAAACAATAATCATTCGCATATTTGTAATATTTTTGTTCGATATTTTTCATATAGGAAAAAAATAAGTAACTACCCACACCGAGGTTCGAGCGTGACACTCTGGACTTATGAATATATATTTTTCGCCAGGTGTATAAATAGCGGTGTCAGGCTACTGACTGTAGTGATTATTAAGTGACTATTGAGTGGAACTATCCAGTGGAATTAGTGTGAATTATTTTGCGTCGATGATTTGGGTTTTGATTTAAGATTTACCGGATGTTAAGTCGAGCTGCTATTTCACTGAAATGGTTAATTATCTTTGGTTCTTGTTAAGTATTTATTTGCGGTTGTAATTACTGTTTTATTTTAACATTGAAGTCTTGAGGTATACTTAATTATTAACGGCCACCGTACGTTACAAAAGTTTTAAAGTCAGCTTTTAATTCCATCATTTTAGGGTTAAACTGTTTTCGATAGTTTTTTATGCTACTGTGTTTATCCAAGTGTGAAGGATCCTCTGTTAAGGTGGCAAAATGATCGGTTTATTGTACCGCTTCAGTAAGTATCTGACTCTTCTTGCTATGCTCTAATTTTACAAGGGCCAAATCAACCAAAAATGGAATGTTGCTACACAGCTACACAGCTACACAGTCCTCATTCAGTTTAAAAGTGTCTACGCGGTCTTGTGGATGTTGAATTATTTCTTACCCTACCACCCCTTTCCCACAAAAGAAACGTAGTCTTTCGCTCTTTCCATGCTATGTGTTCCGATGAGTTACGTCCCTTGTTTCCACCAACCCTGACATTTTCAGCAGGGATTCGGCATATCATCTCCACAGGACTGGATCATTCTCAGTTCCTTCGTATTCCATTAGTAACAAGTTTCGTTCGGTTTGATTTGGTTTATTTTGTTTTACAGCATATCAACTTCAATAGGTTATTTAATGCCGACAAGATTTTTACAATAGATTTGCATGAATAGAAAATGTATTCTTTGTAAGATAAGCATTTGTAAATCAGGCTTCATTGACGTATTTTTGTCGTAAGTCTAGTTTCATTGATGTTAATTTCCAGATATACAATTTGTAGAGAAATTGATTTTTATTGATATTCCCATTTGGTCTATATTTTTGGTAGAGGCCCACTATTTTAAGAAATGATATTGTCATCCACTTTTGCTTTCTAAAAGATCTCATACATGTTTCTATTATAGCTTTTTTTGCCTTGAGAGAGAGCAAGGCTCGAACACCCCGTTAATATATGTTTAATAGTGTATACCGTTTCATATGCTTCACATATTGCTTGATAGTTGCCAAGCAAATACGAATGGCTTATTCTTGTGGGGGTCAATGTGTAATAGGGTCGGTACTACTTTTTCCTTTCGAGATTTTCTGAAGGCGGACTTCCATTCTTCTAGTTTGCGCTGAATTGCGAAGAACCCAGTTTCATTCAGGCAACTTCTTTCCAAGAATTGTTGTTTTATAGAACAGACACCCAGTCTGATGTTTATCAGTCATTTCAATCTTGACATCAGATTAATTGATCGATTTGTTTACAACTTTTTGCAGATTAGTTGAAGCCAGCAAATATATTTTTAAAATTGTAAGAATTTTTGGGGAGATAATGTTTTACTGATACAAGTCATACTAATTAGCCCATAGCTGGAGGGGACAAGTGGTGGATTCAGACCTTTCAAAGGCTATCTGCGCATAAATGAATATAACTAATCCGACACCATGCACGCATCCAAGCTTACAGCACCTGATATTCACAATTGGTCACCCAGCTAAGTAATGACCAGGCTCGACGTTGCTTAACTTCGGTGATCGTAGCGGAACCAGTATTTCAACATGACATGGCCGTAAGTCTTAACCTCTGAGTCTAAGGTTGACTATCATCTTTTCTGAATAACCTCATGAACTTCGCCTCTTGTCTTATGCTCATACAACAACACACGCTAACACTCTACCTTGAATGACTCTTGGGCCTTTCATTGGGTGAAAATTGGTAACAAAAAACTCCCTTCAACAGCAAATATTTACATTCTATTGTACACATTCGACCATCTATTGGGTGTGGGGTCTGCTATTTATGACTGAAGAGATATTCGATTCAAACCAATTATAATGTGTCATGTCAGATATTAGGGTTTATTAGCAAGCGTTGCTACCATTTGGTAATTTCCTAAGCGTAACTTAGATATGAAACAAGGTCAAAAATGTGGAGCACCCAGTCAGGATTATTATCACTATTCAGTCATAACTGATCTGGCGGGACAAGCTTGTTAACCATTACACAACGTCGAAGTGCCCAACGATTCTCTAAGCAATCTTAGATGCGGCATAAGGGTGGAGCACCAAGTGAAAATCGAACTCACTACACAATTGTAATTGATGTAGCGAGGCAAAAACTACCATATCAGCTGCAACAGTTTCTTGCATATCTGTGTTGGGTGTAAGAGATTTATATTTGTTTATCCATCTTAGATTTTCTTTTCCCGGGTCAGTGTTTGAAGATTTAGAATCTGAAGTTATAAACGATTTTAAAAGACCTCGTCTGAAAGGAAGAAATCTTGACCTCAGTTGGAATGGATTTTGTTTTGCTTCATATCAATGGGGCTTGAGATTCTAGAAGATCGCATTCTCCTGGAACGTTTGTGAAAATATTCCCGGGAAAATGCAGCTGTTCAAGAAGACAAGAAAATTAAAAACGGTATCAACAACAAAATGGCTAATATTTTTTGAAAAGCTTGAAAGGAAAATGTGCGCAATATTTTCAAAGTAGAAATGATATTAACATTATATATATATATATATATATATATATATATATATATATATATATATATATATATATATATATATATATATATATATATATATATGTTGGGATAATGAAACACGCAGCTTTCTCTCTTAAAACATTCTCGATAAAGAATCAGTTAATTGCACTTGTCATAGATATTGCAGAGCTGAGGCTCAGGATCTTACTGTTCAGAATCCTATGAAGTGTTTGAAAATGGAAAATAAAATTGTAAAAAATAAACAAAAAAAAAAGATAACGAATGATGTAAATTATTCCAAATTGAATAATTTTGCAATCGATATACCTGAAACATAATTTTATAAAAATGTAGAATTAGTTGTGACACTATTTCGATATTTATTTGCATCAGTGTCAGTAACAAGACTCTGGTTGTAGCAGGATGGCAAGATAAACATTTAAGAGAAAAAGTAAAATGGTCGATAAAAAAAATAAATATATATATATATATATATATATATATATATATATATATATATATATATATATATATATATATACTCGACTCTTCCGTCGAATTCGACCTATGAGGGTGAAGCAGATCAGTTCTTAGGAAACTGACAGCCCGATAGCAGCACATGAGATTTGGTTACAGTGGGGAAGGTTTTGTTCAGAACCACCCACACTTTATGAGGGGCCGAATAGAGTCCTAATGCACTAAATGCCACTGGTTCCCCAAACGACCCTCCGCAGGTTTTGAATGCAGAGTGGTCCTTCTCCTAGACCAGTTGTCATCCAAGGCTATATAACCCAGTCTGTCCTCTATTTACCCATAGCTGGAGGGAGAAAAAGAGGATTTACACCTTTCCCAAGGGTCTTACCACGTATGTGAATGTAATGGATTCGACTGGAAACTCGGCTCTCCGATTCCTCAATCCAAGCCGCTATCCATCTCTCCACCGTGTCTTATATATATATAACCAAGTTCTTCAATCTTCTGGGATGTGATTTTTGCAGTGTGGGGTCGTGTATTGTCCTGATGAATCACCATTCCTTTTAGATTCACTAAAAGAGGTCATTTTTTCTTCAAAGACGCGTTCAAACGCTTTATTTGTTGACAGTCGACTTGAACATTCATTGCTGGATTAGTTGGTAGCAACTCAAAGTGAATTATTCCTTTGCAATCCCATGAAATTGAGAGAAGAATCTGAACATGAAGTTCCTTTCTCGTTTATGTTTGATCCTTTTCCCCATTAACAAGTCACTGTCTACGACGTTTAACATTTTGATAAAAGATCCATTTTTCATCACCAGTCACAAGTCTATCCAAAAAGAGCTAGATGAGTTCCCGAGAATGAAGAGAAGAGAAGATGTCAGCTCGGGAATTGCAGTTGGCTTCAGACAATTCATGAGGCATCCATTTTCCAGGTTTAAGAAGTTGGTGAAGATGACAATGAACTGTTGTATGCTTTGAAGGAAGCTTCATTGCCAATTCTTCAACTGAAACGGCAGGGTTTCCTTCAATTGATGCCACGTTCCTGTTCAGTCTTCATTTTCAAGGCTGAAATTTCCATCCAAACCATCTTCTGCAAGATCTTTCATTAAGGTATTCTTCTCCATAAGCTGAGTTAATATTTTAATTAGATTCGGCTGTAGAGTTGCCTTTTTTTAAACTCAAAGTATTATGTGCCTTGAATGTTCCTTCGACACCTCCATATTTGAGGGGGATAATTTGAATAATTAAATCAGTCAAATTATACTATATAAAGAAATTATATTAATTTAAAGGTTTCTGAATTCATATGATTATCAATAAGTATCATTTGGCATGTTATAATACTGTAAAATTTGATTGAAATTACATATGTAATATTTTGGATAGAACCCCATACCCTACCTAGACTTAATCTCTATTCGAAAGTAACTCATATTTGATACAATCGACGTCAGTATAAAAGAACGCACTACTGCCCCTTGTCAAAATGACTGGGTTTCTCCTTATCCTTGGAAACTGATATTATGAACGTATGTGCTTATAAAACACATTAAATTTCAAAATAAGTTATTCCAAAATTCGCTTGAAAATGAAACAGATCTAAGGCCTTAGTTTAATTATATAATTAAATTTGAAGTTTTTAGTTTCTGGTTTTGAAACACGGTAATTCCTGTGTAGAGATGAAACCATATTTTTAAATCATATATATATATATATATATATATATATATATATATATATATTGGAGACATTTGTAGACATAGACAATTTGGGTATAGAAATCAAGACTGCATTATTTAATTATTGCTTCTGGTGTGAAACTGCGAGTCAACATTCATTGTTGACTTTTATGTCCACACAGTTCTATCTATCTATCTATCTATCTATCTATCTATCTATCTATCTATCTATCTATCTATCTAATTAAATTTGTAAATTCCCAAATGATCACCCATCTAAGTACTGAAATGTCTCCACTTTGCTTAACTTCGGTCATCGTATCGGAAGCGGTGTTGGTGTGACCGTCAGCCTTAATATGTTAAAATTATTGTTCATGAATACGAATGTCATGGCTACACTTGCAAAACACAGAGTAGGGTAGAAAGCAACGAAAATACTGACAACGAAACTGACCTGAACCTTGAAAATGGCTAGCTACACTATTAACCAAAAGAGATCGGAAAAATAATCACTAGAGACACGATATTTTAGTAAATTCTTAATAAAAGACAAACTTTAAAAACTCTCGAGAAACTAAATAAAATGTTGCAAAATGTTCTTTGTTCGCCATATCCAACGAAACATGTATAAAGGAAGAATTGCTTCCCAAATATGTAAAAATGAAAGAGAAGAAGAGAAAGAAAAAAAAACTGACTAGAACCCATACGCTACCAGCGAGAGCATTCATCTTTCACGGACAATGGTTTAGCCATTAAGTTGCAGTCGCTTTCACAATTACGTCCAATTCTCAATCAACTCTCTTCCTCTTTTTTTTTACTGCTTAGTAGTAGTAGTAGACGTTTCTGGAATCATTACGACTACTACTAGGAGTGGAGTTCCAATGTCGACATTATTCGGATTTCATTACTTTGAATTTAACAACGCAAGAATGGGTCGGTTAAAACATGATTAAAAACAACGAACAATTTGAAGAGAATGAAATTCCCATTTGCTATTTCTTGCTTTATATAGGATTTTTTAATTGCCACTTTTGGTTCGTCTGTTCGTATTTCATATATTAACCGCGAACAAATAAAGATTTATAACCCCAAAAAATATTTTCATTCAGTTGAACAAAAGTTGTATGGAATTGAAATTTATTTTGTTAACTTGTTTTTGTCGGATTTTGAATAATTTTGTTTTAAAAATCCGCTTTCAGGAGGAAAATGGAGACATCGTAATAACACAGCATGTCGTAGGTGTGAGTCGGGGATATTATGAGGTTTTAATATTTAAATACGGAGTTAGGTCAAAATATTATTATCCTCAAATAGAATACACTAAATACCCATGAATAAAATACATTATTCGAATTGCTGAGATGAAACATTACGACTAATCAGTTTTGAATAGACAACTTATTCTACTGGAACATCAAAGTCGTTTTAACATTCTAAAACCGTTAATAAGTAGCATGTAACAAAGAACAAAAATAACTTCCTAATAGAGTTGAACTTGTGCACCATTTGTAACTTGACCAGAAGTATATCATACTGATCAGATTTCAATCATCGGTTTCGTTTAAACCTATTTATTTAGCTTGTCTCTTTTTGGTGCAATTAATTTTTATGCTAAATATTTATTTCGATTTAATAAACGTAGGCGTACAGTTGGAACTGCTAGTTAACCTTGGCTTATCTTGGAAGGATATTAGAATTATCCAGTACCTATACTGACAGCAAACAGCCTGTATACGGATAAAAAAATAATAAGTTGAGTATATATACAAAAATAGAAAGTGACATTAGACAACTGGACTTATTCAGTGAGGTGATTCTTAGAGAATTAGAAGTCCTATCATGATTCATTATTGGTAGCCACAATCATAACAACATGGGGTATACAAATGACACAGTGTTGATAAGAGACACAGTCAGTAAACCACTT